AAATTAAGTTTATCATATATGTATATTAAATAAATATTATCAATAAAAATTAAAATATATAATTTCGTTTATCTTAAATTTATCTAATTATGCGTATGCTGACCAATGATCGGTAGTATGTGACTTATCTTCTTCTGGAATACACTATTAGTATGTAGGACGTACTACGTACTGCATGCTTAAGTATTTTATTAATCTCATTTCTTAGTATCTTTGATGATGCAGTGTGTGTTGCACTATGTTGCATTATTTTGATTAAACTTATTTTTTTTTTTTATGAAGATAATGAATTTTAAAAATTCTTAAAAGATATGAGCGTATTGCGTATGTTTTAGGCCCATTTCCTATACAACTTACACTCTGATTTTTTTTATGTTATACTGAGATAGATAATAAATATTTTAAAACAAAAATCTAAGTMGATAAAAGCAGGTATGCATGAATAGAGCTGTTAAGAATGTTTAAAATTAATTTTAATGAAGAGGTACTCGTACCATTCATAGATTATACCTATATAATACAGTAATACCACTAATACCTATAAGGCTATAAAGTATAAGTAAATATTATACAATTTATAAACTATAATATAGTAAATAATAATATAGTCCTATATTATAGGATGTAACAGAAAGACCTGACAAAAAAAAAAAATAAAAAAAATTTTTTAGTTAAACGTACATAAACGACATAAATTATGAAACAGTCTAACACTCAACATTTACTATATAACCGGTGAACCTCTCTCCTCTTACCCTGAGAAGAATAAAAATTATCTAGAAATTATAAAGCAAAATTAGCTTGACGCAACGGGCGCAAACGCAGTTCATACAAAAAACAAAAATTACTGAGCTGATCAATGAAAATGCATGCTATAGGTACCCAGCCAGAGTATTATCCTTCGCGAATCTAACATGACTTCCCTTTGGGATAACCATCATTAACAACTAACAAGTATGAAATTAACACCAAACTAAACGATTCCCGGACGAAAAGTCCGGCATTGAAATAATTGGACAAAAAGTCCGGATTCATTTTTTGATTGCTGGACAAAATGTCCGAAAATACAAAATTGTCTATTCAATTTCCATTTATAACTATAATTATATACCTTATACTACAGGGGTGGCCACTAACCTTAACTTTGGGAGCCGAAAATTTATAAAGTTAATTCGAGGTGAATCACACATTGTAAAACAATGTTTATAAATTAAAGATACATTCTTCATTTTAAAACAAATGAAGGAACATTTATTTACTTTTAATTTTAGTCTAAGTTTGGTTCAAAAGCCTCACGAAATTGATTTAAGAGCCGCATGCGGCTCGCGAGCCTCGTTGTGGCCACCCCTGTTATATTACTTATATATAATATTATTATGAAGGTATATAGGTATACACATGTAATGTTATATATATATAGTCAGTTCATAATTTCATATATAATTATTGTATTGGCAAACGTAATGTACTAAAGTGGCTTAGATCAAATTATTAATTTATATCAATAAATATATCGTATAGGTAACTTAAAAAAAAAATATTATTATTATTATATTTGGATCAATGTTTGTAGGTATTGATAATTTTTTTAAACATATAACTCATTTAAAATTATTATTTTCACTATAATTATTATCGATGTTTTATAATATGTTATCTTAAAAAATATAATCCAGTGGATTTCTGTTGTATTTATATTAGCAATAAGAAAATATAAAAAAAATATATACAGGGTGTCCCGCGAGGATTTACCCATTGCGATATCTCACGAAATAATGGAAATATCAAAATTCTGGTATTATAGTAAGATTCTCGTGGATAAGAACTTCAATTGTTACATTTTTAAATTTATTTTAATGTTTTTGTAAAAAATTTAAAAAATATAATTTTTTTTTTAATTATTTACAAAAAAATTAAAGATACCTAGGACCTAGCCATTTTGTAGAGTTTATTTTTCTGAAAATATTGGCGGTTCAAAATTTTATTTCCATTAATTTTCTGGTTTTTGATATTTTTTCTAGTTTTGAAGAAATAAAATATGATTATAAATGTATTATTATTATTATTATTATTATTAGGAACACGGAAAGTATTCAGCCGACCGTATGGGAATGCGCGCAGCGCGGCGGGTCACATGTTTGATAACATCATTATGGTGTTAAATAATTTGCAATTTTTCTCGAAACTAAAAAAAAATAATAAAAATCAGGAAATTAATGAAAATATATAATAAATAATAGTTTATAATTTTATGATTTATCGGTACTGAAAAATAATTTCCAAGGGCAAGATACTAAAAAAGCAGTACCGAGATACTAGATACGAGATACTCTGCTTTGAAGTATCGCGATGCAAGATACTCGATATTTCATATAATTGTATCGAGATACAAGATACAAAATACAATTGTATCTAAGATACGTATCTTGGATAGGTACTGCCCAACCATGTCTCCTGTAACGTATCACTGTTAATTCTGTATGCAGCCCTTATTAACTCATATTTATATTAGGTAATTTAGTTATTACGTATAAGTTTATATTTATATTGGTACAACTTCTCTCTTTAATGTATATATTATGTAATTTCTTGTAGCCAATGGCCCCAGTCACCAAGGCATTAGATAAAAAAAAAGGTAACAATTAATATCAAGTCTGTACCGACTATACCTATTATTAAAGGTGGAACTTTTTACGTCTGGACTTCCTAGTGCGGGATTTGGTTTTCCGCATTTCGTTATACCAGTACTCATCCAAAATATTAACTAGGTAGATGAAGCTAAAACTAACCAAAAACAAATAATACTCATATGGATCCCTGGCGCCAGAATACACCGGAGATTATAGGCAACGAAACTGCAGATGAATATACACCAAAATCATCGCTTCAGATACAGACACAAACATAATATTAGATCTTTTCACATACACGATGACTTCAAAAACTCCACGAAAACAAATATTACAAAAAAAAAAAAAATGACAAACAATATGGAATAACCAGACCGCTAAATTAAACCGGGTCAAGAGTACAACCTTCAGATGGGAAAACCCCAACCTAAACTGAAAGTACAAAACCATTTAATCACCCAAAAATTGGACACACTATAGGATAACTACTCATGGATTTCTCTTGTAAAATGATTCAACGCCCATCTGCGAAGCTTATTGTGGTACAGATCATAATCAAACCATTATAGCAGAATAACATATGTATGAACAGAATGACGAACAAATCTCAATTTTATCGAAACTCTCGAAGAAACTCTTGGACGAGACCAGGAAAAAACATGAAAATCAATTTTTAAGACTAACATAAAATTATATAATGGTATTTGTTAAACTAATGTTAATATAACATAAATATGAACTCCATAATAATCGTACAATTGTAATTAAGACTCTAATAGCCCTTGTTGCAGAGTTGTATTTTAAGATAAATAAAAAGTATATATATATATGAAAATTATAAGGATAATAAATAGTTAAAAAAAAAATAAATAATCGAACTACTTGAATTACAAGAAAATTTTTAATATCAAAATTTGTCTAAAAATTAGATTTATAAATTGGCTACTTTGAATTTTTTCAAAATAGATGTACCTAATTAAAAGTACCAAATTTTTATTTTTGATAGATATTAAAAAAAATATATATATTTAAATATAGATTAGAACAAAATTTATTTCATTTGTAAGGACTTTCTGTTACCTATGTAAATAATTTTGTATAAATATTAATATAATATTGTTAGAGGCAATATTATCTAAATTCATATATTGCCAACAATTGCTAGGCAATATTAAAAACTATAGATTTTTTTAAAAATAATGATAATTTGTAATAATTTACCAATTTATATCATTGACTTTATTATAACATTAAATAATATGCACTAATTCACGATAGGCAATATTCTGAATGTATAATATTTAGCCAAATTGACTAGAAAATGTCGGGTGTTCGTGATCGTATGTTATAAATTTATTATGATGACAAAAATGATCGCCAAGCTTGTCTTAATTTTTAAATTATTATAGGCTGCGTATACATATGTATAAGCAGCTTCTAATAAGATTAAGAATTAGGTATATAAAGTTATTATTAATATTTGGATTCAGGTACCTTTGACAGTATGTTTTCGGCCATCTACCGTAGGAAATAGTGTAATACTAATGATTAATAGTAAAATAAATTATTTTAATAGCAATTGTATCAAAAAATTAACTAATTAATATAGGCTTGACTGACCATTTTTGTTAAAAATAGTTTTTTGTAAACAATACTTTAATATCATTGAATTCAAATTTAACATATCCATTATAGTGATCCATAAAATACCTAATGTACAATAGAATGGTACTCAATTGCCCACCACCTTTTTTTTTAATTTAAAAAAAATTGGAAAGTAGGTTATTGTTCTGTTATAAATAAGATGTCTAGAGAGTGGATGTATTTTATGATATCATAGTTTTCAAATTACTCATTAACAAAATATGATTTTAACGTTCTAACGTTATATGCGTTTAAAATACAGAAAAGTTAAAAATACTAAATTGTATAGTACTAGGTAAATTATTGTTTAAAAATACATGTCCATTTGGAGAATGTACCAAGACCTATTTTTTTATCATATTCAGTAATTTATTTGAATCACTATAAGTAATTAGTTGATTAATCTAGTAAATATGTTGAACTAATTTTCACCAAAATTGTGTATATATAATAAATCATGTTCTATAATTATTGTTTCTTATTAACATGTAACTTTTAAGTCAACATTGTAGAACATTGTACTTATATATATATATATATATATATATATTTTAAGTATCTATAGAATAAATCAAAAAAAAATTATCATGCACAATAAACATCACAAACATTTATATATAATTATAAAGTTTAATCAGTAACTTTTTTGTATTAAAATATAATATTCAACTTGTATTATAAACAAATAACAATATAAAAAATGAGATTCGTAAAATAATAAAAAAAATGTACATAATTTTAATTTATACAGCTAAGATTCTTAAAATAAATGTATAGAGATCATAAAGAATTAGGATTTTATGTATGATAAATATAGTTTATTTTATTTTGCTCAGTTAATTATTAATACCGTATTGTTTGGCAACTTCTACTGATAATGGTACTAACCAATAGTCAGGTAATTGGTTATTGTGCTGTTTTAGGTATTGATTGATAAGCTCATCTGGACCCGGTTGTTCTTTTCCGTTAGGTAGTCTAATATAAAACTTGACTTCCCCATTTAAATTTGGCTTTGAAATAACTTCACATTTTACATTTATTGTTGATGGGTTATCTGGCAGAAGTCTATTTGATATGGTTGACCTTCTTTTGATTGAATTAAAATGGGAGTCTATCCTTCTCTGTGGTGTCTTAACCATAGTGACCTCAATACCTTTTGGCACATGAACATTTGCTGGCATAATAGTAACATTTTGTGAAAGATTGTGAATGATAGAAGATGTTGATTGACTTTTAGTATAATTGGTAGACCTAACTTGCCTATTTGCAGAAACAGAGTTGTGTGATTTGTTTAAATTAGTTTTTAAATTACAAGGTTTATTAATATTCAAAGGTGAACTCTTGGGTTTTACAGTCATTGAAACAAATTGAATATCATCTTCATCATCGCTAATAATAATATGATCATCTTCTATTGAAATAACATCATCTTCTATTTTTTTATGATTATTTTGATCATTGGTTTTTTGAATGTTATTTTCAGTACAAGTAGAGATTGATGTTTCAAAATTATCATTTAGAATTTCACAATCGTTTTGCATATCTTCTTCATCTAGATCTATGATATCTACTTGTTTTAAACCATCAGTTGTTTTTTCATTTTCTTCTTTATCACTATCAATTAATACAACTTCTTCGCACTTTTCACTATCTATATTATTAGTATTAACTAATCTTTCGTTATGACTATTAACAAATGTATTAGTATTATCATTACTTTTTACCACAGTTGAATTTTTTTGAAATTCAACCGGTTTGATAGATTTATGTTTGTTGTTAGTACCAAATACTTTAGTTTTGTTTTTTGAAATTTTATCTTTTTCCCTTAATTGCTTTTCTAGTTCAATAAGTTTAGAAGAAGTTCGCTGCAATGGTTTGCCTTTATTTTTAGTCTGGTTCAAAGCACCCCATTCGTCTTCGGAATCAGTAAAATCAGAGATGGAATTAATGTCATTTTCACTAAAATATTCCTCAGATTCATAATACTTATCAGCTTCAAAATCTTGCCTAACAACCGATTTTCTTGTGCGTTTTTGCAAAATTATTTCTTCGTTCTGAACTAAATTATATATAAAAAAAAAAACATGAATATTAATTTACTTGTCAGAAATTAACCAGTCACCAAAATACTGTTATATAAATTAGTTTATATTTTTCTGTTTAAAACAGATCCAACTGAAATTCCCTTAAAATTATAATAATTTATATTTTAATTGTTATTATTATTCATTCTCTTATTCAACAGGGTGGAACCTTTTTTATGAATAAACTAAAAGGTAAAAATGGTTCACATATCATTGAATAAATATAATACATTATATAATACATAATCATAATAAAAACATATTTTGAGAATGCTAAGCAATTCAGGTGAAATTGATTTTAATTTAAGACTAATTTTTTTTTTTAACCAATAATTTAGTAAAATTATTTGACTTGAGAAATATTAGTTAATAGCTTATCTAGCATGTTAGCAACATTAGACAGTCATATTTATTTTTCGATATAACTATTATTTTTTAACAAATCAATCATTAAAATATAACTGGAAAAATAAAAATGTAATTGACTAACATATAGGTACTATGAGTCATTATATATTATGTAAGTTGTAATTATTATTGTCAAGTAAAAATCAATTGAACATTATTTATAATCAAAAAACCTAAATAATTAATTTTTGAAGAAATAAATTAATATTGATGCTCAAAGTATAATGTTTATTGAATTAAATATGTTAATTTTTTAATCAGAGGTTTTGCAGGCCTTTGGCATAATATTTAAAATGAGAAATTAATTGTCTAGCTTTGACTTCTCGTGAAAATTGGTAGGAGAAGCCAATTGACGTCAATCTAACTGCAACAGACAGTAATTTATTACCCCGCGCCGTATTGGATTTTATTATGAACAGAGTATTTAAATACAATTAATAACACTTCATATTTCATAATTTAAATTAATAATAATTACTAAGTTAAAATGTATATTACCTTGAGCTATTGACTTAAAATCTTTATCTTTTAAAAAAGATATATCATCATTATTTTTTGAACCAACCAATGTTTTATTTTGTCCACTAGGCTCGTCATTCTGATTAGTATCTAACAGGTTACTACTATCGTATTTCAGCATTTTCTCTTTTTCTGATAATTGCTTTTCTAGTTCAAAAAGTTTAGAAGGGGTCTGCAGCGGTTGTTTGACTATATTTTTACGCCGATTCATAACACCCCATTCATCTTCAGAATCAGTAAAATCAGACATTGATTTATCATTTTCACTAACATATTCATCAGATTCAGCTGTATCAAAATCTTGCTGTATAATTAACTTTCTTTGACGTTTCTCAACAATAATTTCTTCGCTTTGAGCTAAAATTTAAAATTATAATAATAACTTGAATAATTTGTAGACTAGTACAATTATTATTTATTATAAGTATAAAGTATAAAAACGTGGAACTCGCAGTAAAGTCAGTGTGAGTATGTGTCATCATGGAGCAGGTAACTGAAATGGTTGTGTTATATTTTAACTTAATGACAAATCATTTATTTTTATTTAAGGATAAAAATAATTCTAATCTAAGATGGTGTCATCCTTTTTATGAATATTTTATATACATATAAATATATAATATTATTATTATAGGATTATAATAAGGATTTGTGCTGGCCCCCTGTAATTCAAATAAAAAAAGATAGTTTGGGTAAGCTAAAAAGATTAAAATTAGCTAAGGGGGCTCCATCCCTCTAAATAATCCTCAGTGATAAAAAGGTGTTTATTAATGTTATAGTTTTACAGAGTTCAAATTATACATCTGCTGCTTAATATTGGTTCAGGTTATCAATTTTTTTCCATATTCTTCATTAAATGATTTAGATAGTTTTAACAATAGGTGGTATAAATAGCGAATATTCTCCCAATGTTCGGAGGATTCAAAATGTTTGATAATATCAAATTTTGTTAAAAGAATTAGTTTTTCAGATTAATTTAAATTTTTTCAGCTATTTAATGAAAATCTAAGTGTCTTTCGATGCCATTTAATAAATATTAACTGAAATAAAGAGACAACGCAATTCAGTAACTGATTGCAGATCACATTAACTTAACTGTACTACCTGCATGTTAATCCGAATCAATTAAATTATGTAAATAAAATATTAATATGTGATAAAACTATATTGTTAAAAACATATTAATAGCAAAACTGATTAATGTTAAGCTGAACATTATGAAGATATAAAATTCTAGACTTGATACCAAAATAATGTTAAACGCGGTAACATTCAATGATTACTTACTGTACTATAACATAACATTGAAATTGTTATCAAATAAAAAATAATATGGAAAAAAGCACTTATATTTTTTTTATGTTTTTGTAACTATCAAAAAAAAAAACAAATATAGCATGGTTTAATTTTTAATTCTTACTTAAATATAATTGAAAGAAAATTTCATATCTTACTAACATATTATACAAATTAAAAAAAAACAAACAAATAATCTGTTTTAAAGAAATTAATTTAAGATTTTCATTAGAATGTTTATGTTTCCTAGTTTAGGTTTGAATTTAAAATATGAGTTCTATGTATTAAACAATATGAATATTTGATACATTTTCATTCGACAGTTCTCAATGACTCCTACTAGTAAAAAAATATATGGTTTCTATAATATTATATATAATAATATAAAAATTTTAATTTAAATTATCAAGAATTATTATTAAGTAAAAAAGAGAATAATAGGAACTAGATAAATTGCTCAGAAATACAGAAGACGCAAGTGTATTAACTATTAAGTCTTACATTCTAATTCAATGATAAATCATTGTATATGATGAAAAACAATTAGAGAAGACCGGATTTTTGGTAGCCAATGTAACGAAACAATTATAATTTATATACCTAAAACTACAAATAATCGAACATTTTAAATGTTTGTTACAAAAAGGGCCAAAATATTTTAAATTTATATCTGCATTAAAAATGTTGGGAATTTTTTTTCTTTTGATACTACAAGATTCACTATTCTACCAGAAAATAATTGAAGTTGAAAATATATATTACTTTGAGCTATTGACTTTGAATTTTTCTCTTCCCAAAGTGACATATTTTCTTTATCCTTTTGAATTCTATCTGCATATGATTCACAGTCCTTAAATAATTTTATTTTAGAATCATTGTTTAAGACAATGAAATTATATTCTTCGGGTTCAATTTTCTCAATAAAATTTTCAAGAGCACTTATTAAATTTTCAGGAACTGATGTTCCCTCCATATCCAATTCATAGAGAAAAGTCCGAAGTCCTTCTACTGAATCAGCAATTAGCTTAAAATGTTTTTCACTTTGTATCCAACCAAAACTCCCAGAAACACCTATATAAATATATTTTTAGTTCTATAATATATAAATTATTAATAAAGAGGTTTGAAAAAATATGCATACCATTCATTGGTAGATTATTTTCAACTTTATCATCAACTTTTACTTCTTCTTTATCGGCTTTTACTGATTCGAGAAATTCAAGACTTGGCTAAAGAAAAATAAAACAATTATAATTATATTTAAATTATAATTAAAAATTGATTACTTCATCGTATGGAATGTTGTAATAATATATCCTTAAATCTGGCATAGAATCAAAATAAAAATATTCCTCGGTTTCCAAATCATTCTTCCAAATTGTACACTGTCTTTCATTACAATTGGTCATAATATCATTAATAGTTTTAAATTTAATCTAAGACAAATATAATATATAATATATAAATCCATAAATATTTTATATATATATATATATATACAGGGTGTCCCACAGAGATCTGACATTCTGACAAATGAAATAACTTTTGTTCTAATCAATATTTTTAAAAAATTTCTTTTAAATATAATTCATAGACACTTGCACTACATTTTTTATTTTTTATTTTTAAATACTGAAAATAAAAAACTTAAAAATTGATAAAAAATTTTTTCGAAATATACAATATAACAAATTTGTAAATCTGATTTTTAGATATATTTTTTAACTTTTTTACAAAAACATTAAAATATGAAATAATTATAGTTCTTATCTCTGTGAGTCTGATAACAAATTCAGAATTTTGATATCACCATTATTTCGGGAGATATCGCAATGGGTAAATACTCACGGGACACCCTGTATAATTATATAATTAACAAGCATTATGATACTTTAAAGATTATTAATAAGTTACAAGTTAAACAACTCACAGTAACATAATCACAAAGTGCTTTTACAAGCCAAACTCTCACAAAATATGAGAGTTCACAATAGTCTTTTTCAATTAATGGATTCTTTTCACTCACAACAGCCCAAAAATCTGGATGAATTCCCAGTAAATTCATTACCTGAAAAATAAAATTGTTTTTATCTATTACTCCACATATATGTTACAAAGAAATTTGATTAAAAGTATAAAACATAACTCACAATGACTTTATTTTGTTTTTTTGTGTGGTATACTTTACACCAATCTGATACTTTTCTTGAAAGTTTTGCAGACCAAATATCATATGGCATGACTTGACCAATAAATTTTGTTTTTTTTACTGGCATCAAAAGGGTGGTCATGATTTTACCCATAGTTGTAGATTGTTTAGGCATTAAAAACATTCTTTCAATTTCTCCTTGGTTAATAATATCAATATCCAGTTTTTTAAATAATATAGCCACAAAATTACCTATTTCTGGTAGCTGGAATATTATGGAAATTAATTTAAACTTAACAGCCTTAACACAAAATACATGTTTAAATTATGTAAATAATTATATATTTACCTCCCACATTGAATTGATATATCGATGAAATATATCATTAAAATAAACTTCATTTTCCCAACTTAACACTTTTTCTAAAATATGTGCATTATCTTCATCAGTAGTTAGAGTGGTAGAAAGTATTTCATGATACTTTTTTAATCGTCCAGGACGACAATGTGCAACACTTCTTAATAATACTGAATCATAACAATCTAAATATAAATAAAAAAAGCATAATAATTTGAATCTATTTATTAATTATAATGAGGTAATGTGCTATATAATAATTAAAATAAATCAACAATATACCTTTTGGGTATCTCAATTTAGAGCTAGCTTTTCCTTCCATATTTAGTAAATTAAATGTAAGATTAACATCAGCCATTAATTTATAATCGCTAAAAAAATATTATTTTATTTATAGAAATACAATAAAAAATAAATGAATAATTATTACTCATCAAGGTGGCTGATTTTTTCTTCTAAAAATTCTTCAAGTTCTAATGATTTTTTAGTATGATGATTTCTAGTACCATAAAATGAATAGCAGTTTAAGAATACTTCCCTCACATCTTTCATTACATCAGTAATGGAGTAGTATTCTCCATTTTTAAATTTTGAATCAACTTAAAATAAAATAAAATAATTATTGATAATAGAAATTACAAGCATCTTATAAATTAAATAATATACTTTTCTTAAAATCAATTTGTTCATGTATGGATTCTATAAAATCAATATCTACAGAATTGTCCGATAAATCCTTTAAAATAGGAGGTGCTTTCATATATATTTGTTCAAATATTCTAAAAAATAAAAATATATATTATGGAAAACATATCAAAATCATATCTCAATATATTAATTTAAAATTAATCATGCACCACTCTGTATACAAATTATCCATTAATAAAATTAAAAAGTAAAACGTATTAAATTTGTATCAGGATATTTTATTCACCTTACTATACAGAGACAAAAAAAAAAATCAATATTTTTTCATCATTTAATTTTATGCATTGTTTATTCTTACTTGTAAATTTCTGATATCTCTTTGTTTTCTACTTTTTTGATACTGTTTGATTCATTCATGTTTACCTATAACATAGTAATACATACATTAAAAGATATATTAGGGCTTGATTGTACCTACCTAAATCTAATTTTTGACATTGAGTGTATAACATCAATATATAATGTTTTAATGTTCAACATTTAAAAATAACAAGAACCACATGACTGACCTAAATCATAATACTACTTTAATATCAGTATATGTTGGACGTGTGTTGAATAATATTGTGAATTGAAGTTCTTTTACAATTTTTATGGAATAATTTATAACATGTACACTAAAGATTTTGAACCTTACACATATCCACTAAATAGAAATCCTCGTAATAATTTTAACATTAAGAACAAATCAAAATGGTTTATAAATAACAATTCTAATATTCTCATAAAACCCAAATCAAAAAACAAAAAAAACAGCACTAAATGGAGAAGAATGTTGAATGATTACTCGCAGAATACGACTTTACATGGATTAAGATATGCTGGAAATAATGAATTAAGTGCAAGTGAAAGGTAAATATTAATAACAAAATAAAATATTATTAATGAATTCAATTTACTATTGAATATATTTTTTTACATTTACAATATGGCGTTTTAAGGTGTTTTTGGATAATATCTTTTGGTTTAGCAGTTATCACGGCAGTTTATTTTATTTTCAACTTGTTCCATAAATGGCAAGACATGCCTGTAATTATAAGTCTATCACCAAAAGCAACCAAGCTTACAAGTATACCATTTCCCGCCATTACCATATGTAACATGAACAACGCAAGAAAATCTGTAGCTCGAAATATTTTAGAAACGTAATGTATACTTATTTAAGTAACTACCTACTTTCTATGAATTTCATAAAATACGTAAATCATTCTTTACAATTTATATTTACGCATAGATCCTCAAAACTCGAAAGCAATATCGACCGACGTCTGTTAAGTGATTTCTGTGACGAAGATCCATTATCAATTGATTCCACCATTGACAATTATACAGGAGATTGGGAATCATTAAAAAAATTTATGATTAGAGTATCTCAACCTTGTCATGAAATGATCGTATCATGTCTATGGGCAAACAACCCTAAAGTCTGTTCAGAACTATTCAATCCTTCATTAACAGACGAAGGTATATGTTGTTCATTCAATAAAGTAAAACCTGATTATATATATCGGAACCCAAGAGATTTAACAGATTTAAATATTACGTTTCCAAATCCGTCTGCAAATTGGACTCCTGAAAATGGATACCCCCCGAATACGCCTGCTGAATATACACCCTGGAGGCCCTGGGGCGCCGGCAATCATCTAGGATTAACTCTTGTTTTGGATGCTGAAATAGAGGAATATTATTGTTCATCAGAAGTCAGCTATGGATTCAAAGTAATATTATTATATATTAATAGGGTTCGGACAAATCTTTTAAAACGATACTTTGGATTTGTATTTGAATAGAGATACAAATACATCATTGAGATTAGTGACTTGTATATTATTCAACTGCGTATGCTATAGGTATTATTATTATTATATATTTTCCAAAGCATGATGTTCGTTTTATAACATTTACATTTCATGTATTTTGAAATCATAAAAAGAAATTTTGATTTTAAAGTTATTATTTACAGTTTTTAAAATTTTGTAACGTGATTAAAAAGATTTTACTTAATCGAATATTATTGATTAAAACGGATCCGTACGACGGAAAAATCAAGATAATTATTACACAATTAAATGAGAATAATTATTTTTGTAAATTTAAAGTCCTTATATAAAATTAATTGTTAAGTCTTGCAAACAACTTAATTCAATTAATTATAAAATATTTTTTGGATCGAAACTTGTTTAAAATAAAACATGAAAGTGCATTTTATAGGTGCATTATTTAAAAATTTTAAAGCATAAACTCATAATTTATAAAATTACACACATTCAAGATAACATCATTTCGAGAAAATTACATATTAAAACCAATAAAACCTATAATAAAGATTTTAGTTATTTTGTTGTAATTTAAAAATATTATTCAATGGGTACTTGATTCTTTTACATTATTGTATAGTATACCTACAGTGCAGGTAATAGTAAAATAAATTACTTGAATCACAATAATGTTATACAATTTACTTAGTAATATTTATAGGCCAACTAATCGTCTTAGCTCAGAATATTTTTCTTATACAATGATTATTGAATTCAAATTTCACTAATCCATTACAGTGACTCCAGACACTTAATTTACAGCGGCTAAACGTTACCCATTTTACAGACTTTTTCACTTGACTATTAAAAATTATTGGTTAGTTTTATTATTAATTACATTTTTTTTTTAACTTTATATTATTTATATTATATTAAATCGAAAAATAAGGAATTTTCATGGCACGATTTTATTATTTTATTCTAATTAATAAACGAATAATTTAACGAATAACCATAATAGATACTTGAAATTTTCATCAAATGTTTTTTTTTTTTTTTTTGCCCACGGCAACTGATAAGGCCATTTGTATTAAATTTTAAAACTTTCTGATCCAAAGGAACGGTAAGTTGGTTACACGTGGATGAAAGTTTTGGCAGAATTTCTATATTGGGGCATCCGTATGTTTCTGCCATGCTCCGGAGTGGGGGATGGCGGCACTTGTTCTCCGGACACCGTGACTTGCCTAGAGAAAAATGCCGCCCGCTAGTCGAGGATCGAACCCGGTCCGGCTGAGCCACTGCCGACGCGTTAGACCGTTCGGCCACCTCGCTCCCCATCTAATGTTTATATTGGAATTTTCTAGGCATAATAAATTTTCATTTTTAATCTTTTTGAACTATTTAAAGATAATAATTTTGGTTTTCATTGGGTAAAAAAGCTTGAACATTTATTACAAGGTTCGTCATAGTATAATAGCAGTTCAAACATTTTAAAGATACTTAATCTGATAATCAAATTTTATTGTTTAAGAGGACACCACACCCGCATGTGTCGGTCTCCGTCATATAAGTGCGTAGCATAGCAAATTTTACGCTCAGCAGATCACGTTTATCTCAGTTAGTTTAAATTTTAGAGTGAATTTTAAAGCGAGCCATAAATATTTTAAAACTATAAATCTAAAAAAAACTCATAACTCGTTTTAAAATTAAAATATAACAAAAAGCCCAAATTAAGCCCTAGATAATAATCTTGCCTTTAATTTTTATAATAGGTCAATTCACTCTAAATTTTAAACTAACGGAGATAAACGTGATCTGCTGAGCGTAAAATTTGTTATGGCACGCATTTATACGACGGAGACAAAACATGCGGGTGTGGCGTCCTCTTATGCACTTAAAGTTCAAATTTTGACAAAATCATAAAAACAAGAAAATTTGAAAACTATTTTTAAGTAAAAAATTTATAAAATGTCCAGTTTTTATGGTTAAGAATTGTTTTTATGGTTAACAATGTTTCTCATTAATATTTCTACCTAGTATATACAAAAATCTTAAAATTATATAAGCACTGTCTTTTTTAATAGATATTTTAAGTTCAAATTTAGTCAGAATTAATTATTTAGTTATTTTTTTTTTTGTAAGTAAAAAATATTTTAATAATGACCGTCTTTGCTCAGAATCGTTTTCGTATTCAATGATTATATAATTGAATTCAAGTTTAACACTCACATCAATTACTTACATTGACCCATCACGCGTTTTTTTCTTAATGTCTGTGTATTCGATAAGTTATCGGAAAAAGCTTCAACATTTTATACAACATTCCTAATATATTGTTACAATGGTAGTAAGAAAATATAAAAATATTTAGTCACGATTTTCTTAACAAACTTTGAAAGTTTGAATTTTGACAAAATACAAAATCACGAACAATCGCAAATTATTTTGAGTTATTAATTCATAAAAATGTATCTTTTTAAATCTATAATTTAAAAACCCAATACAAGATTCTTCACGAGTTTGTCTACTATTATCAAATAAAAAATACCTACCGGAAAGTCAAATTAAATTTTTATGCGCATTTGAATTACAACTTACAACATTGGATATTCATTCAATTTCTCTTGTTCTTGTACCTACCAATATTCTTATGTTGTTGCTATTCAAAAACGTAAAATTCTAGAAATTTGAAATTTACATCATATGTTTATTTTATCAATTTCTATGATTGATAACATTTTCAAAATATTTCAACAATTTTTATGTTCTTTTAGACATTTTCATTTTCATTTTTTTAGATTTTTAAATCCTAACCCTTGAAAATGTAATACAAGCCCCCCCCCCCCAATACGTCAATATAATATTAGTTAGAAAATATTAAAAATTTATAGGCAGGTTTCTTCTAAACGAGTTATAAAAATTAACCTACCTAACCTCGCAGATAGTTTTCAAATCAAAAATTGTATTATTAATATAAAATAATGATATATAAATAATAGAAGATAATCGAGGTACTACAGTGAAACGAGATTCTTTTAGGAGGATATGCTATTATTATCAAGTACAAAAAATAAAAATAAATAATATTTACAGTCCAAACAAAGATGATGAAGTATTACACAAGTATTTGATTATACAATACAAATACACATGAAATAACATTTAAAAAATATGCCTACTTTAAAAATAGTTTAATTAATATGCCTACTTTTTAAAGGTAAGTATATTCAAAAAGTATTCTAAATACTTTATAATTGAATACAATTTGCTATTTGCATACCATAATTCAAATACGAGGACGCTACACCCGCATGGCCGCATGTGTTGTCTCCGTCTTACAAGTACGTAACATTGCAAAAACTGTTTCGCGCGGGAAAGAACCGAGAAGGCTACAGTCATAACTAANTTTTTTTTTTTTTTTTTAATTATCCCGCGGCAACTAATAAGGCCATTGGGAAGTGGGTAGAGTACTGTAGGTTTTTATGGAACGGTAAGTTGGTTACACGTGGATGAAAGTTTTGGCAGAATTTCTATATTGGGGCATCCGTATGTTTCTGCCATGCTCCGGAGTGGGGGATGGCGGCACTTGTTCTCCGGACACCGTGACTTGCCTAGAGAAAAATGCCGCCCGCTAGTCGAGGATCGAACCCGGTCCGGCTGAGCCACTGCCGACGCGTTAGACCGTTCGGCCACCTCGCTCCCCATCTAATGTTTATATTGGAATTTTCTAGGCATAATAAATTTTCATTTTTAATCTTTTTGAACTATTTAAAGATAATAATTTTGGTTTTCATTGGGTAAAAAAGCTTGAACATTTATTACAAGGTTCGTCATAGTATAATAGCAGTTCAAACATTTTAAAGATACTTAATCTGATAATCAAATTTTATTGTTTAAGAGGACACCACACCCGCATGTGTCGGTCTCCGTCATATAAGTGCGTAGCATAGCAAATTTTACGCTCAGCAGATCACGTTTATCTCAGTTAGTTTAAATTTTAGAGTGAATTTTAAAGCGAGCCATAAATATTTTAAAACTATAAATCTAAAAAAAACTCATAACTCGTTTTAAAATTAAAATATAACAAAAAGCCCAAATTAAGCCCTAGATAATAATCTTGCCTTTAATTTTTATAATAGGTCAATTCACTCTAAATTTTAAACTAACGGAGATAAACGTGATCTGCTGAGCGTAAAATTTGTTATGGCACGCATTTATACGACGGAGACAAAACATGCGGGTGTGGCGTCCTCTTATGCACTTAAAGTTCAAATTTTGACAAAATCATAAAAACAAGAAAATTTGAAAACTATTTTTAAGTAAAAAATTTATAAAATGTCCAGTTTTTATGGTTAAGAATTGTTTTTATGGTTAACAATGTTTCTCATTAATATTTCTACCTAGTATATACAAAAATCTTAAAATTATATAAGCACTGTCTTTTTTAATAGATATTTTAAGTTCAAATTTAGTCAGAATTAATTATTTAGTTATTTTTTTTTTTGTAAGTAAAAAATATTTTAATAATGACCGTCTTTGCTCAGAATCGTTTTCGTATTCAATGATTATATAATTGAATTCAAGTTTAACACTCACATCAATTACTTACATTGACCCATCACGCGTTTTTTTCTTAATGTCTGTGTATTCGATAAGTTATCGGAAAAAGCTTCAACATTTTATACAACATTCCTAATATATTGTTACAATGGTAGTAAGAAAATATAAAAATATTTAGTCACGATTTTCTTAACAAACTTTGAAAGTTTGAATTTTGACAAAATACAAAATCACGAACAATCGCAAATTATTTTGAGTTATTAATTCATAAAAATGTATCTTTTTAAATCTATAATTTAAAAACCCAATACAAGATTCTTCACGAGTTTGTCTACTATTATCAAATAAAAAATACCTACCGGAAAGTCAAATTAAATTTTTATGCGCATTTGAATTACAACTTACAACATTGGATATTCATTCAATTTCTCTTGTTCTTGTACCTACCAATATTCTTATGTTGTTGCTATTCAAAAACGTAAAATTCTAGAAATTTGAAATTTACATCATATGTTTATTTTATCAATTTCTATGATTGATAACATTTTCAAAATATTTCAACAATTTTTATGTTCTTTTAGACATTTTCATTTTCATTTTTTTAGATTTTTAAATCCTAACCCTTGAAAATGTAATACAAGCCCCCCCCCCCCAATACGTCAATATAATATTAGTTAGAAAATATTAAAAATTTATAGGCAGGTTTCTTCTAAACGAGTTATAAAAATTAACCTACCTAACCTCGCAGATAGTTTTCAAATCAAAAATTGTATTATTAATATAAAATAATGATATATAAATAATAGAAGATAATCGAGGTACTACAGTGAAACGAGATTCTTTTAGGAGGATATGCTATTATTATCAAGTACAAAAAATAAAAATAAATAATATTTACAGTCCAAACAAAGATGATGAAGTATTACACAAGTATTTGATTATACAATACAAATACACATGAAATAACATTTAAAAAATATGCCTACTTTAAAAATAGTTTAATTAATATGCCTACTTTTTAAAGGTAAGTATATTCAAAAAGTATTCTAAATACTTTATAATTGAATACAATTTGCTATTTGCATACCATAATTCAAATACGAGGACGCTACACCCGCATGGCCGCATGTGTTGTCTCCGTCTTACAAGTACGTAACATTGCAAAAACTGTTTCGCGCGGGAAAGAACCGAGAAGGCTACAGTCATAACTAAAAAATGAAATTCTCACCACAGATAAAAGGGAATTTCGACTGTGCAACGTTGTTTTTATTTTTTTGACATTAGAACTGAAAAAAAGTTATTCGATTTTGAAAAACGCAAAAATAATGAATTTTGAAACAATAAGAACTTTTTTTCTATTTGTGATATCGAAAAATTGAAAACAAAGTTGCACAGTAAATGTTCTACTTATTATGTGGTGAAAATTTCGTTTCTTAGTTATAGCTGTAGCCTTCTCGGTTCTTTCCCGCGCGAAACAGTTTTTGCAATGTTACRYACTTRTAAGACGGAGACAACACATGCGGGTGTAGCGTCCTCTTAACAAAATTAATATGCTAAAAACCGGACTAAAAACCCTAAAAAATATAAAATATTGCTTTTGTATGCATATTAATTTTTTTCAAATTTAAATTAATCATTAAATGCACAGTTAACACAACCAATTTAAAAATAAAATAGATAATTATTTTTCTCACATAGTTTACAAAATATTGATGAAGTCATGGAAATGTACAATAAAAAAGTTCGATTGAACTAAATTTTGTTGTATACTCTATATTTAATAATTTATACTACCATCTAACAACATACAATTAACAAAATAAACTATAAATATCCGGACTCTAAATATAATATTTTAAATCATTAATTATATTGCAGGTAATGTTACACAGTCCTGTAGAAAATCCAAAAATATCATCATTTGGTAGTTTAATATCGCCAGGAAGAGAAACATCATTGGAAATCCACCCTACTGTAGGGATGGCTACACCAACATTAGATGAGATAGAAAAAGAAAAACGTCAATGTGTGTATTCAGCGGAAAAACGATTGAGATTCTATAAAACTTATACTCAGCGGAACTGTATACTAGAATGCGAAGCTAATTTTACATTAACATTTTGTCAATGCGTCATGTATTATATGCCAAGTATGATACTATTGAATTTATTATTTCATTAACCTGCTTAGTCTAGAGTTGAGTTAGGGGATTTAAAAATTAAAATTCATTAAGTTTTCTATAAGTTCTAATGTTAATTAATTTTAATTTTGTATTGGATTTAGAATAAGGTATTTTTATTTTTATTTTTAGGATCAGTAAAAATGTTTAGATCTTCTAATATGTGTGAGGTTAAACCGATTATAATTATAAAAGTATAAAAAATTACTTTACTAAATAAATATATAAATTATAGTCGCTAATAGCATCAAATCATATAAATCTTTTACCTCACAATTTATGGAAAGTAAATCGTCTTTTTCCGCATTGACGTCCTTATATATAGTTAATAATTCACAAAATATTAATCGTATAACTTAAAATATTTTCCAATTATTAAATTTATAATTTTTTTACACAATGGAATTCTTAACATAGCTAATGATCCATCATGAGACGAAATGTTTTTTTTTTTTGGTATTTTTTCTATACATTTTGATTAAACAATATTCTGTCAAAAAAATTTGAAATTATTTAGCTGTTAAAAATACCTAACATTTTCAATTTTTAAAACGTTCCTAATAAGTTCTTATTCTAACATAAATTTAAATATGTATATCGAGTATAAATAAGTATACATTTTATTTTTAGACATAAACTCATAAAACATAAAATATTGTAGAGGCTTTAAACTTTTCGCCGATACGTATTAAAATAATATTCTATATACAATAATATTTTAAAAATACTTGAACAAAACAATAATATGTTACACTTGCTCACTTGCATTTATTTTAATTTTTCTTTTGCAGTAATATTTTATAACCAATAACTAATTATATGATTAAATATGTATATTTTATATTATGTAAGATGCAGTGGCACAGCCAGGGGGCTAAGGGGGTTATAGCCTTCCGCATTGGCTAAGTTTGTTTTAGTCAATAGTCTATATATTATAATTTATAATAAGAAATATTAAAATATTGTCTAGTAAATATATTATAAGTAATCATAGGCGTGCGCACGGGGTGGCCAGGTGGGCCATGGCCCACCCTGCGAGCCATACTGTATCTGTAGTACATATATTGTGATTTGGTAATTTTTTTTTCATGAAACTTAAATAAAAATAATTACAAATTACAATTTTCAATAATAATAATTAATTAAATACATTGAAAATTGAATTATTAAATATTTTTAAGTATTTCTTGAAGTATCTAAATCATAATTGAATTGGCCTACCCTGCCAAAAAGGTCTGCGCACACCTATGTAAGTAATCCTTATCAGAACCTAAATCAACTAAATGTATAACCTTTATAATATTCTTTCTTATAGGCATCATCATGATGAGGACGTTTGTCTCCGTTGTACAAAAAATGTATAGCAAATTTTACGCTCACCAGATCACGTTTAACTCTGTTAATTAAACAATTTGAGTGAATTTATCTCTTATAAAAATTAAAAGTAAGAGTATTATTTAGACGACCTCTTGGGCTGTTTACTATATCATAATTTTGAAACGAGTTATAAGTATTTTTTTAAGATTGTACTCGTAAATTTGTACATCTTAAAATGCTTATAACCCGCTTTAAAATTATAATATAGTAAAATGCACATAACAACATAAGGTCGTCTAAATAATACTCTTAGATACCTTTAAATTTTATAAGAGCACAATTCACTCGATTTTATTTAACGGAACTAAACGTGATTTTCTGAGCGTAAAATTTGATGTTACTCACATAAGACGGAGACAACACATGTGGGTATAACGTTCTTTTAATTTAAAATAATTAGAATAAATAAACAAAAGATAAAAATATAATGTGTATTAATTATAAGGTACAATGAAGTTATCACTAAAAGTAAAAATAACCCTGACTTCATGCTCATAGCTCAGGCTGATGATTTTTTGGAAAATTGTATTATCGCTTAGGTCACTATTTGTTTTTGTTGTATTGATATTATATTATGTATTATTATGTTTTTAGAAGACAGTTTCTCAAGAATTTGCGGGAAAAAGGATGAAGAATGTTCGAATAAAGCTAAGTGTAAGTTTTAACCACAAAGTAGATATAATTTAACTGTATACATATTTTGTCTTAGCGACTAACAATKAGATTTGTTTTTTGTCTATTTTTTAACTTTAAGGATGGTTTTTATTAGCAAATTGGATATAGTTTAGTCATGCAGGAGGAGGATAAGAGTAAAAAAATCCAAGTACTCATTTTTCAAAATAACGTGAAAAAATATCTAAGAAAAAATTCGAATTTTTATGAAAAAAAATCGTCGTAGATACTTGAAACTGTCATAAATCATAAATGTTTATAATATCATCATTACATGATATATTATACGGTGTACTTAAAAATTGAATATTAATAGTTTTCTAAACATAATAACTGTACGTTTAAAAATGTTGAATACAATTTTCTTGATACGTTGTTATCATATACATTTAAAAATAGAGATATTGATACTAAATGKGCACGGCTTTCTTATAAGCATTTGAAGTTCAAATTCGGACATTTTCAAAAGCGAGGTTTTTGTCAAAACTTAATTCAATCTACCAGATTAGTATCTAACATTATGATGGTAAATTAAATTATTTTAAAAACAATAATAACATATGATACACTTAGTGATACAGATTAGATGGACGCTGCATTGACCATCTTACCACAAAATCATTTTTCGTATAATTATCATTTATCACATATACTGATATACATTATAGTTATTTAACGAACAGTTACACTTAACGGCTATCTACTTTTCCCCTTTTAATTTATCAAATTTATAATATAAATAATACATATTAAATAACATTTCCAATAACTTTTAGAATATTACATTCACTGCCTTAATTATAAAAAAAGATGGTTGTTATTTTATGTACTCCTAGTATAATGGACCAACTAATAAATTAACTTTTGTTTTAAAGTGGCGATAGAACTACGATATAGTTCACCGTTATCGAATATTAGTCAATTACTGAATGGAACATATTTACCGAATTGCACTTGTCTACCTGGATGTCATTGGATTGGATATAATAAAGTACATTCGTCATCACCTTTGGCTAATAGTTATAAAATCAAACAAACATTTTTAGCTGGAAGAACTTCCACTTATTTTAAGTTAGTATCCAATCTAATTTAAGATTCTAAGTGGAGCGACGTATTTATTGGTTACAAATGTTACAAAATGATGTTTTTTTGTGTGTCTATATAAATAGTACAAACTAAAAAATAGAATACTTTAATTTCGTCTTTCCATTTAAGTATCTTTTTTTATAGGAAAGTAAATACAGTTAGTGAATTTATAAGGTTAAAATTTGAAATTTAAAATGTTATTAAAATCAATAGATAAACAAAAAAAATAGAGACTTGGAAAAAACGAAATATTTACGCGAAATTGGTTTTTGTTTTTGGCATAACCCTAAAAAAGTTTCCGTAGAAACATGAAATTTTCTCTAAATATTTATTTAGTATTTATAGAAATTTGGAATTTTATTTTTTTAGTTCTTATTCTTTACATTTTATTTCGTTGAGTCAAAAAGCTTGAAAATTTAATACAAGGTTCCCCATAAGTTAATATAATAATAGTCGGAAAATTTAAATACATTGGCACGTTTTTTTCTTATAACCGTTTAAAAGTTCAAGTTTTGACAAAATTTATTTAATTGAAAATTTACAAATACTTTAGTTGTTAAAAATTTATAAAACGTTTAAATTGAAAATTAAAAATAAACAATTATTTAATTATTATTTAATCAATTAATTAGTTAAGATTTTTTGAACTAGATCAAATTTTGCGGATGACAATTGTTGCCGGATATTTATTTACCGAACCAAATTATGCGTCATCAAATTTTTTGCCAAAATTTCTTAAATAATCTGTATATATATAATGACTTGTCCTGGGTKATTCATTATCGTTTAGTCGGAACCGATGAACCTATGAGTATGAAATTTGGACAATAGTTTTGTTTCGTTTTATATATATCCACTAACAAAAGATTTTTCAAAATTTAACTTCTACCGTGAATAAAAGGGGTAAAAATGAAAAAAAGTCACTTAGCCAGAACCGCTAAAACCATGAGTATGAACTTTGGACAGTAAGTTCATTTTATAATGCGAAAAACTCCTTAAAATCAAGATTTATCAAAATTCGAACCCTACGGGTGTTAAAAGGGTTCTTAATGTTATTATACAGGGCGATTTTTTTATCATGAACCACTCATTATTTCAAAAAGTATCAATGTTTTTKAAAATATTTTTTTACAAAGTTTCATRTTGTTAAAAAAACAACGTTTTTATRAAAAAAWTAWATTTTTTAATATTTTTTATCCTTATAATTTTTTAAGTTTTTTACTTTTTTGAATGGCAACCTAGAGTTTTAATTTCATATTCCAAAGCAGAATATTTTTCTAAGTATTTTGATACGTAAAAATCGAATTTTGGACGAGTAGTTTATGAGTTATAAGTATTTAAAGTTTAGATTGGCGGAGTGGAGTGGTACGGGGTTACCCCGCAAAATGTTTGTCCACTACTCCGCTTGTCTAAACTTTAAATACTTATAACTCATGAACTATTCTTCCAAAATTCGATTTTTACGTATCAAAATACTTAGAAAAATATTCTGCTTTGGAATATGAAATTAAAACTCTAGGTTGCCATTCAAAAAAGTAAAAAACTTAAAAAATTATAAGGATAAAAAATATTAAAAAATTTATTTTTTTCATAAAAACGTTGTTTTTTTAACAATATGAAACTTTGTAAAAAAATATTTTAAAAAACATTGATACTTTTTGAAATAATGAGTGGTTCATGATAAAAAAATCGCCCTGTATAATAACATTAAGAACCCTTTTAACACCCGTAGGGGTCGAATTTTAAAATTTTTTAACATCAGAAAGCTACACAATCCCATGAATCTATAGGCTATATTATATCTTGATGAGTTGCCCTTAATATTTTTATTGCAAATTTGATATTTTTTTTAGAAATAATAATAATTTTAAAATTTTAAATAAATTTTCGTGTATTATATGGTTACTATTGATTGTAAAATTTAGTATGGAAGAATAAGAAATAAGCAATTTGTTATTAGGTACTAATTTTAAAAATGGTTTCATCTTTACAAAGCTAAAAATGCAATAAATTATTATGATTTAATATACTTTTAGTTCCTGTATTTTAAATGATTGTTAAAAATATTTTATGAAGATTAAGATAGAGTAAATCCACGAGAAGTTATAATCATGAGTATAAACGACAAATAAACCAAAAATTTTGAATCATATAGTCGGTATTTTTAGTGGGTAACGAAGTGCATGGGGATCAGTTACTATGTAATTATACATACAATATAATATAACCATTATACCATTGATTATAGAATAGATCAATGATTATACTGACTTAATAACTGTGTATTTAATAATTATTTTAGAAAAAATATGGCTGTAATTCACTTTTTCTTTGAAGAAACCCAATTTACTGGTTTTACAAAAGGGGAGTTGTTTGGATTTACAGAATTCTTATGTAAGTCTACAACTATGTTATTAAAATAATAATTATAAATTAAGTAATGATACATTATTAAATATATTTTAGTGTCAACAATTTATTAACTTTATGTTGACAAATAAAAAACACTAATGAATTAATTTTGGATAAATGATAAATTAAAAAATACTAAAGAACATAATTTTTTTCAGCTAACACAGGAGGACTTTTAGGATTGTTCATGGGTTTTAGCTTTCTCAGTGCAATTGAAGTAATATATTTTATTTCTTTGCGTTTATGGTGCGCAATGTCCAATAAAAAGAAAATAACAGATAGAAAACAATCTAAATAATATTTCAAAATTTAGATTTCAGTAAAATACACAATATAATATTAAGTATTATTAAAACAGCACGCTCCACAATACATTTTTATCTTCAAATTATTTTGTGAAAATAGAATGAAAAAACAATTATCATTTTATGATCATATTATATTTTGCAATCGCTGCGTGACATAATTGCCTAATGGGCTTGTTATAATTTCTAATCTATAGATATAAAAGATGTGCACTTCACACTATGATTATTTGCTTCAAAATTATATAATTTATGCTTGTATTCTTAATGAACATTTGAATTGTATGCTTAAGACGATAGAAGAATCAGAATAAAAATAAAGTGTTAAGGTAGTTTTATTGTTATTCAAAAATTTAAAATAATAGATTAATAAATTGAAATAAAAATTGATATTTATAATATTTATATAATCAAACATATAATAATTCACTAATATATAATAACTAGGTAGTTAGATTTTTTAAAACTTTTAATGATAAAGTTGAATATSATTTGTATTATTTAATAAATGTTAGTTTATATAAATATTAATTATATCTTAACATGATACCTCAGATATTAAACATAAGCAGGGTTTATATCTTTCAAAAGTGCAAATATGCAGTATAATTATGTACTTAGTTTTTTTTATAAAATATGTATTCATAAGGAAATAAACTTGGAAAAATTTTTTTTCAAAACTGATAATAGAAGCATTATTGGAATCTAACATATTTATAATATGTATATTATACAGTTGAATATATCATCAATTCACAAATTTTACCATAATATTTACAATAATTAAATATAGCATAAATTAACTATTTGCAGGTACCATAATCGATTATGATTGGAACTGAAACTAAAGGGTGTGCGTGCTGTAGTATATCTGATGAAAATTTTATTAAATTTGTGTATGCGATGTTGCTTTTTAAATATTTTTTTTTACATTAATTAAAATTTCATCAACAGTGTCAGTAACAATTCGAACTTATATTTTCTCCGAAACTCTATAGAGGCCACGAGCACTCTTATCAAAAATAATTTTTTTTTACTAGAAACATATTAAATAAGACATTGATAGTCATAACAAATTTACAATAATTAATACTTTTTATAGTATATAGAACATTTTTATTGATGATTTATATTAAATTATAAATAAAATATGAATTAATATGCTTAAAATCYTAAAATAAGCAGTATCATTAACATTTAGTAAATATAAAACATACATTGTTGTACTTCAATTGTATGTAAATGGTATCATAAAAAACAAATTTGTATCAAATCAGATTTCAATATGCAGCTTCCTAAGAAATATGCTAATGCGTGAAGTTCTAAGCTCTATACACAATATATTATAACCCCGATTATAACACATAATGACATACCTAACCTACCTATATTAAGATAAAAAAAAATAATAGTCAAAATATTTAAGGAATAGGATACAAATAACCATGTTATTGAATACCCAGTTACTATACAACATTAATATCAATGTCGAGCTGATATTTTTATACTTAAGTACAAACATTTCAAAATTATAAAAATAATGTAAATTACAAATTATACAGTATTGAGTATGTAAGTACTGAGAAGTATGCTGTTCATCATGGTTTATAAATTTTCACAAATGCACTGTGTCACACAATATACCCAAATGTGTTGACTCCTAAACTCCTTTCAACAAATGGACAACATAAATGTAGTTTTGCAGTTTCAATTATGTGTTAGCTTTAATACTAAAAAAAAATGAAGTAGTATTAAACTAAATGGTGAGAACATTATCTGTTTTCTCATTGATTTTTACAATATTTAAATTTTTAAGCAATTTAGAAGCATTTTTAAATTTTAATATCTTTACAGAATTGTAATTCATTTTAAAATAGAAATATTCTTAAAATGCTAACAAGAGAATATACTACATAGTAAATAATCTTCATGTTATACTTGACAATAGGTAAATTTACTTTAATATTGTAACTAAAAACCCAAAATTGTAACTGTTGTGCACAAATTGTCTATGCTGTACATTTGTTATAGATAGAGGTCGGATTTATATTCTCTTAAAATCCTTAAAATATGATGTTTTTATGTCGCATAAATTAGGCAATATAGTCTCTTAGGGTCGGGCCACACATAGCGGTCGAGCCGCAGCGGTTCAACCGCCAGATTACCGTTCACATATGCGCGGTCAAACCGCATGCGGTTATACCAAAGTATTGGACGATAGAAAAATTATTATATTTTAAAACTTAGTAATTAATAGTACCATATACTACAGTTGACATGCTCGTAATACTACTGTTGACATGCACGCTGTTCCAAAAGAAAATACACCATATTTTCATATATTTTATAATAGATTTGATAAAAAAAATTAAAATTATATTTTAAAACATCAGTTTTTTTTACAAATAAAAAAACAGTGTAATTTTAGGTTATGAAAGTTACTAGAAACCTTAGGCCCCACTATTAGAATTTTTTTTTTTAATGCAAATGATCTTTTAAAAAATGAACCGCGGTTATGAACCACGACTATGTGTGAACGGACTAATTTCCGGACTAATTCAAAACAATGTGTTTTGATCATTTGGGAGGTCGAACCGCACACGGGTCAACCGCGACATGTTGCGGTAGATTTTTCGACCGCAGCAATTTCCGCTGCTGAACCGCATAAGTGTGAACGCGTATTGGGCGGTTGCATTTAAAATAAAACAATTTAAATTTGTTGAGCGGTTGAACCGTTGCGGATTGACCGCTATGTGTGGCCCGACCCTTAATATTCTTTTAAAATACCAGATATATGATGTTTAATGTCCTTAAATATGCAAAATATTCTTTTAATTTAAAAAAAAAAATCAGTTTAAATTTATTTTAGCTAACGAAATAACCTATGTGCTATCGCAATCGATAAGGAATACCTGGAGATTAATTTTGATTAAAATCCAGAAATTAATTATTTATAAATAGAATTATTTAGTGAACATTATACCCATCAAAGTGCTGATATACGTGAAATATATTCATTATATGCCGATAATACAAAAATATTCTCAAATATTCTCTAACCCATAAAATATGCTTTTTTATGCAGAATAAATTTTTTCCTATGAATTTTGTGTTTCATGAATCGTAAAGATTTCTCACTACCACTTAACTGCATAGACTAGAAAAAAATATGTAAAATCATAAAAATCCGACCTCTAGTTATAGATATAGCAACACACGGCACACCAGCTTCATTGATTTCTCTGACTTCAAATATAGCTCAAACATCTCTTAAGTTTCATTTATTAATGATTACATTTATGATATTAAGTTATTCTCTAGTATAGCAATTAATTATAAAATATTAAAAATCTGTGTTTTGTGTGAAGCTTTTTTAAATATTTTTATTTTAAAGAAAATTACTAATACTTAGAGAATTAAATAATTTAAGAAATTTCCAACAAAGCATGGATAATTTAGTAACTTATGATTGTTATAATATGTAATGTTAAATAAGGAATCATACAAACTGATATTTATATATTATATTCATTATTATGTCAAACTGTCAACCCAACAAAATAATGTTCCATTGATTCCAATCTAAAGAAAAAATTATGTTAAATTAGATTCAGTATTTTAATTTACATTGTACTGAAATTAATACCAAAGCCATTACTTTTATGACAGTACATTTTTGTGAAATTTTTATTTACTTTAATACATTCAGTTTTTTTTCCATAATAATTTAAACTATATAATCAGTCAGCTAAAAAATTGTACATAACTTTTAAAAAACTTTTTTTATTAACCTCTGATTGCCTATTTGTATAGACACAGATAAATAACAAATAATAATCTAATATTTGCTTAATAAATGCACATATTAAGTATATTATGTTTATTTTGGTTTTGTATTTATAATTAACTCACTCTTAAAAAACTGATTTTGAAAAGATAAATGCAATTATTTGAATAAATAATTTTTTCGATAAACAATATTAAACTGATCATTCAAATACAAATATATAATGAGCAAAGAAGAGATTCTAAAAGAAAACAAAGTAAGTTTTTCCACAGTAACAATGACTGTTATCGAACAAATACTAGGTCTTGGTTGATACTAATTAGTAGACCCAGCAAGTTAAATAGTTGAACTCTGTGGCACGTGTACAATTTGGGCCGGCTTAATAATAGGTATATGGCCAAAAATATTTGAATATCCTGAACTCTGAACAATGAAGTATGAATAATGATAAACAATAAATTTTATATGTTATTGAGAAAAAATGTTCGGGTCTTAGGTTAAAATTCTTAATCAATATGTGCAAATACCTAGCCTATACGGTGTTGCTAATTAATAATTAGAATAACTAGGAAAACTAGAATGAGGTTACTAGTGGGTTGCCTCTTAAAATTAAAATAAATAACTAATGAATAAGAAGTTATACATCTAGTGGGTAACAACTTGCTAAAATCAAATATTCAAGCAAATCATGACAAATAAATATTTGTATTTATAAATGTTTGAGAAAATAAGTACCAATACACATCATACATTATTTGAAGTTGACTGTATAGGACAACCCGATAACTACCCCATGGGCTTTGCCCGCGTTTGATGACTGTTACTAATGTATTTATGTCACTTATCAGTCACCACTTGAAAACAAAAAAATGTTTCTGATTTCTGATTTAATACTTAAATGTGTTTAATAAATTATAGTTTTTTGTAAGTCATTTAACTAATTAGAATCATGTCTTAGAAGCGATTAACTTGATAATTGATTTCAGTTCTCATTTCTTTGACATTATACTAACTACCAACACTCTAAGAGTTTTACAACTTGATTGATGACAACCCAAAAAAACCAAAGTAAATAAATATGATTGTGTTAATATATTGTATAACTATGAGAACGTAATTTCGTTTTAAAGGTGAAAAAAATATTACTTGAAATGTCGAAATCGCTGTTGACTGTTGAATACACTTTTGAGTCTTGATATATCTTGTTCGACATTAAAGAGTAAAGACCAGCAATAAATATTTAAAACATTAATATTATCATTTATCAGTGGAACGATTAAACGCTGTGATAACGTCGTGTACAGACCTTCATCACGAAATCAGTAATACAGCACTAGAGTTGCACGCGTGTGAAGCACTACTGAGTAATGAGCAGTGAAAACTCGCACCTCCCACTGAGCCACTGAGGTCTAATGCACAGAACAACGGGTTTTAACCCACAATCGAATGAGTCGTGACGTCGCGTCCCACTTTAGTGCTGTTGGATTTTACGCGCATCAAAGTTGGTCATGTGGGTACAGTAATATTTTGTTAGGAGTGGGGATAATACTGATGCTCACTGCTCAGTTGATCGATAAGCGATGTGAGCGCTCTAAACTCGGTTGGCGGAAATAATATGAACGTGATTAAATGATTGAAAAACGACCCACTAAACTCACGTGCTTAATTGGTGATACCATAGAATGGCATTTTAAATGTAATCTATTCTGTGGTGATACTACAACTCACTGCTCAGTGCAACAGTCGTGCTTATCATAGCTATGAGGAATGAGCCGCGGTTGGGTGTTGGGTCACACATTTTACGAGTTTATGATGACGACACAACGCATCGTCGGCCATCTTTGAATAATATTCGTGTTGTTATCGGTATCTTTATATATTATATTATTTCAAATGGGTATTTTTTAGGATTCAAATGTTTTTTTTTTTTTAGTTAATCCTAACGTTAAAGATTATAGTTTTAAAAAGTAGAACAACGATTTTAACATAAAAATGGAACAGTAAATTACTATATAATATAGTAGACTTACAAACAAAGGTTCAGGGTATCTACAACATTGTAAATGTATGTTCATCAATTCTAATTTTATATTTTTGTATTTTGTATAATAGCCAAGTAAATTCCAATTTGGAATAAACAGTTGTGTTTTTGAGTACACTACTTAATTTTGTGCAGTTACGTCTACAAAATCACAAATGTGTACAGTACTTCGGAAAATAAAAATGTGCACCTGTATCTTTATAATAATCAAGCTGTAATACTTTTCTTAGTAATTTTTAAAGTTATTAGTAAGATTAATAACAGCTTAAATAGTTTATTTAACTATACTAAATAAAACAGTAAAAACTATTTTGTTAAAAAACTGTGAAAAAAAACGTTGAAATAAAATATTTACAGATGTAGGTATAATCTATTATAAATTGTAATGTAATATATTATTATAATAATTCATTATGTATGTATCAAGACTGCTACTTACGTATTGTCGCTTTTTCAAAATGATGACCGCGACAGCTTGCTGACAATTGAAGATTGAAGACTTCAAAAGAAAAAGAAATAGTTATCGGGTATATTTTATTCACTCGTGTGTTCATCGATTAAAATTTAAAGCAGACATTGGGAAATCCATGATTATCAAACAATTCGAGATTATATTCCTTATCAAGATTAATCTATACTATACTACTATTAAACTTGTAATTTTTATTTAGTTGTAAATAATTTAGAAATTCATAAAATTACAGTACATAAATAAAAATCATAATTCATAGTAAAACTAATATATTCCTCGCTCCGCTCAGAATATAAAAATTAAAAACGCAAGGCCCCAAAAAGCGCGAGTCACTATAATTATAGACGGGTGCCCAGTTTGCTTCACCCCTTCCCCCGGCCATGTTCTCCACATTTGACGTAGCAAGGTTTGTGTGAACAATATGTTTCCGTGTGACCGTAAGTCTGACATTTATGGCATTAAGGTGGATCGATTATGGATTAATGTGTGATTTTTCGACCACGACGGAGGTATGCAATATAGCCAATAACATAGTAATTATAAAGATGTCCAAATAATTGCTATTAGGATTTAGCCGATTTAGGTCTACAAAAAATAACAGTAGAGATATTTTGTTCTTTTTGATGTTTTCTACATGTCTAACCAAGTGGTTTAGTGTTAAGTGTTAAGTTCAGTTATAACATCAGAGATATCAAAACTAAGAGTTGAGTGGTGTAGGTTTCTGATTACGATTCTGAACGGTCGAGAGCTAAGTGGAAAAAAAATCCCCAGACTACAATATTACTCACAACCTCATTCACAAATATTTTTTAACGTTAATTGGTATCTATAATTACCACATTATTAATATTTAATTACAAATACGAATATTATATTATATCATTCAATAAATTAATATAGGTAGTTGTTAGAAAAACAAAGTTTTTATTAAAAAAATATATTTTTAAATATTTTTTAAAAATATCTATAAAAAATACCGAGTACCTAGTAGTCCCATAGCGTATTTTAGAGTAAAGATGAATAGATATTTTTTTAGATTTTTAGATTTTTTTCAACTACTTATGAGAAACCTTGTTTTAAATTTGCAATACTTAGCTATAGAAATTAAAAATTTTTTGCATTTTTAGAAAATGTTTGTAATTGTTGGTATTAATTATTTTTGTTTTCCGTTATAATTACATYTAAAAATGTCAACAGTTTTTTGTCTAATATATAAAGTCATGATCATAACGTTTGATTTATAAATAGCTCTAAAATATTTAAAATATTTTGAAAATGTTAT